ACAGTAAGAGGTCGCTGCTGCCATAGTTACCCCTCAGTAACACAACAGTCTGCCACAGTTCTCTAGCTGGGGCCAGTTCAGCCCCATGCTTTCTGTGTTTTTAAGGCTCATGGCTGTTGTGGCTGTACTGGAGTAAGCAAAGGCAAGGACTGGATACATGTAAGACTACACTTGTTTCTTGTTCCCTCATGCAAAACTTCGGTAAATTTGGTTTGTGCAGAAGACCGTAAAGATTTGGGAGGAAAGAATAATCCCATATTCGGGCTACTAATTGGAAGGGAGTGCATAAATATTTTCCAATCACTATCTGAGTTGATGGATTGTAATACTAAACACAAAGTATGAATACACTGGAGGAGAATTCGAACTGCAGATTTAAACAGCAGTAAAACTGCATACAGTATATACACTGAAATACCATACAGAGCAACATCCCTAGTGTCAGCATCAGATGCTGAGGTGTTCCACAGAGGGGTTAAGTAGCTGTTCTATTTGTCTACTCTTCATGCAAACATCTCTCATTTTCTGTCACCCATCTTTTGTAGAAGAACTGTGCTCACCTAGGTGACCCAAAAGCCAAGCTGTCTTTTTCAGGCATTGCTTAGTGAATCTGACTTCAAAAGGCACTAAAGTAGCTCATTTAGGGAAAGACAGATGGGAAAGTGCATGTATTCCTCACTTACCTGAGTTTTGCCAAAGCTTGTCTTCTGTTCAGAAAATAACAAATATTCTGCATATTACTCTAAATAAAATGGATTTCCTGCCTCCTATTGTAATGTAAGTCTAGAATTTTATCTGAAAAACACATGCTGGAAATTTTAATAGAAAGGGTCATGCCAAGGAAGCCCAATGGGAATGAATATACTGAAACCTAGCAATAAAATAATTCAAACCTAAATGCTTATCATATGACAGTTTGAGATGTATGTGTTAGCTTTTGTCTACCCAGAAGCAGTTTGCCTACACTTCATACAAAGTCCTTTATACAGTTCTCTGTTGTAGTGCTGGGTAGTTTACCTGGCCTGTGTGTAGAAACTGGACAGATTTTAGCCTGTGGTATAGCAAAAGGGTAGAAGCAAACCCTCTTGTACAAGACAAAGAAGATATGGTTGTCAGCTAAATCATAGGCTGTTAATAGAGAAATGTTTCATGTACCTCCTCACTGCCACTGCGCTGTAACTTCATCCCATTAGGGCACCTCTTTCTAAAAAGATCTTAAACCACAATTCTTCAGCTTTTCCTTATGCTAAAGTTGTTCAGCTTTTACTCAGATTTAAATCAACTGGCAAGCAATAAGCAAAACTTAAAACATCCATCTGGATTAGTGTGCTCAACATGATGCAAACTGAGAACATTTATTCACTCAGCTACCTGATGTAGTGACACAGCTGTGACAGGACAGAGCCATGGAGCCCTCACCCCCAGGCTGTCCTTAAAAGAGACAACATGACCTATTAAGACCACGAAGAAAATATTTTGTAAAGCAGATGTGATTATGCCATAACAAAGGAAGGACAGACACATCCTGCAGAAACACCTTTAGCTCCTCAAATGGAGACAGCAGGAGGGAAATGTTGCAAAGGGCTCAATCCACAGGGCTGATTCCATACCTACTGTCAGATACTTAGGAGACAGACTCAGGAGGAAAAATGGAGTTTCATAAAAGCTTAGGAAAGGCATCAGTTGAACAGTGCAAACCCTCAGAAGCTGTCAGGTTCTCTGGGCTGTGCTCCCTATACTAAACATGTTAATGACATGTCCTTAGCGGACATCATGCTACTGCTTCTCTCACACATCTGATATTTCTGGAACAGCCCATTCTGGGAGAGTTTCTGACACAAAGCTGACTTTTGTAGAAGCGTGACTTATTCCCAGGGGGAGGGCTGGATCCCCTTCCTACCTATGTGCCCCCTTACATATGGAGCACAGCATGCTCCTGACAAGCCTGAGGAGGGCTCACTGTGCCGCAGGGCTGTGGAACAACCTAATTCCATGCCAAGATGCCCTTTTCTGTAGATGCAAACTCTCCCCAAATGCTAATGTTAAAAAGTAAAGAGTTAAGGAGTCAGCACAGTGAAAAGAGAGATAATCCTGAATGTAGCATTTCAAGTATTTGCCAGCCACACAAAACTTAACCCTGTGTGCTTGAACACTCACCTGCATGTCTGGTTCACATCCTGCTCACCAGTTCTTATTACACACATCGGCAACACTTTATTTTTCACAGACCGTGCCAAGGTATTAAAAAACTGGGAAAAATATTTCTAATGACTGTTTTTTTAAAGCAGCATAGGCTGACTTACAGTACTGAAGTCCCAATAGCTACTGCTGTACATCTTACATAAAACGATGGCATCAGTTAATTTTCATCACTAAATCATATTTTTTCTGACCTATCCAAACCTACATTGCCTCTGGGTGCTCTGTCAGGTGTACAGGTCAGAAGGACTTCACATACAGTTTTCTGCTTATTCAATAAACTTACCAGAGTAATATTTCACAAGTTTCAATAATTTTGCTAAATAATCAAATAAATGAGAATTACGCAGGTGATATTTGTTTCATCTATGTAGTTGGAAGGAGCTTTCATAGCAACCTCAAGGGTACTGCAGTTATTAAAAGATTAATGAATAATTTCCTTTTTCCCAGTACATATTACAAATCTGTAACAAAACTCATTTAGGTAATTCTGGAATTTTAACATGTCATACCCTAACGAGCCGGTCTGTTTACCAACTTTATAATTATAGAAATAGAATTTAATTGGCAAAATATATTTAAATTTTTCTCACTAAGTTTAAGTGTTCATAGATACTTCTATTCTTCATAAAGAATTAACTCCCAAATGGTTAAGTTTCTACATTTATAGACACCTGTAATAAAGAGTTCAAGAATTCTGTGTCCTGGTTGTGTATTTAAAATTCCCAGCTAACAAGCAGGAGAGAGATTGTTAGGAATGCTCACAGATGTCTGATTTTACAAGGTCTGGGGTTGTTGTTTTCTTTTTTTCTTTGCCAAAGTGCTTTAGTCTAATGTTATTTATTGTTTATGGAAGTTGTTTGTCATTTAGGACATGAAGTGACCACTACCCCAAAAGAAAGAATCAAGTTACAATCCATTATTTCATTTTTGATTGTTTTTCTTTGTAATAGGTGGGAAAGTGGATCCTGGATAAAAGTCCTGCCCAAGACAAAACTCCAAGCTGAAGACTCCAATTATCTATAAATCACTTGAATTTCCTGCAGAGAAAAAGGAGGAAAGAGCGAGACAGACAGAAAAACAGAGACAGAGGATATGCCAAGTGAAACATCTGATACCTGTCCTAAACCAAAATTTTCTGAAAAGCAACCAAGAGTTACCTGATATCTCAAACCCAAGCTTAGAAGAAACACATTGCCATTGTTTTTGGCTTAATATTGAAATAACTTTCTTTTAATTGTTCCATTAGTATAAAATGTGTAACACTGTAGATCTGAGATGATGGCACTATGTATTAATCTATTAAAGGTCACTGTATATTCTCACAGAAAGAAAGCTATGATTGCTGATGACTGCTGTATTTTTCAAAGATCTCTAGAAACAATTCTCCAGTTTTAGAACAGAGAAATGCAAGTACATTTATGATGCAAACTGGCTGTGATACTACTCTCAAGTATTTCCACCAAACCCTCCTGGAGCATAGTTTACACTGAAACCAGCAATGAACAAAATTCATGCCAAATACTCTGCACAGTATGATTACTCCCGAGGTGTAGCACTACACAGCATCCAATAACTGAATTCCTCACTTATTTAACTATTTAAAAATAAATTATGAGCAAGAAACCAGATGCATTTTTAGATTTGCATACTCCAGTTTGTATTAAAATGTAATGAAATTTAAAGTCGTTGACTTTCCTCTGAAACATTCTTCTAGAACAAGGAATTACTGTAACAAATTAGAAGACAAATTAGTTTTGGCACCCACTAAAAAAAAAGATGAAAAGCTTTTAAAGTGATGATATGGAGGAAAAAAATTACGCTACATCAGCCAAAATCAGTCTCCTATCAGCATTAAAGCTCCTGAAGTTGTATTTCCAGTAGATAAAAATGTTATCACCTTTTTCCCGTGCTGATGTGCTTATTTTCTTATTAAGTTACTTGGTAATTAAAACAAAGTCTGACACATTGTAATCTGTTTATACAGTAGATCTGAAACCTCTCCAACAGAAATGAAAACATTCTTTAAAGGTACTGAAGATTCAAAGATTAAAAATATATAAACGAATTTTAAAATGCAAAATGCATTTAAAAACAAATGACTGTTCTTAAAGCCCATTTTAATCAACAAAATCAATTTAGTCTCATAAGACACCACAGAAAACCAGCAGATTTTTCTACATTGACCCAGTGGGTTTGTTCTTAACCCTCTCTTTATGAAAATCACTCTTAAAGGTTTGTAGGAAAAACATGCCCTCTCGCAATATTATTCAAGGGTGTATTCAAGAATCACGGAAGTTTGTAGAGACCTGTTCCAGTGCTGTAACAACCTGGTAGTATTAAGAGTCCTCCAGGAAATGTAAAAGAGTCCCTTGGGCACTCAGGGTAATTCAAGTAAGAAAACGTTTTTATTTTCTGATTGAGATACACAGGTATGTATAGTAATGTCCTCTGAAGTACATCAAAAGCAACCAAAAGATACCCGAGAACTACAGATTTTGCACTGAAAATAAACCCCAACAGCTCTGTAGAAAACAGTACATTTAAAGAGAAGTGGCAAAGCCAGTCCCAGCAGATCCAATTTGCTTTCTATTATCCTGTGGTTTTTCAGACGATTACAAAAATCCTTTACTTTTATTGCAGATTCAAGGCAGTCTTTTAGCCATTGTTTTTGTTTTTTTGTTTTTTTTTATCTCTACACTCATGTTGGGTAGGGCATAATGAAACTGAATTTAAGCAAAATCCCTCCTTTGGAGAGAAAACCATGAATTTCTCTGCCAGAACAAACGAACACAACTTACCTTGGTGTATTTGATTTCAAGGTTGAGAGTGGGAGAAGGGAGCAGATGCAGAGATGCCATCAGAGCTGCAGGATCTGCCTTCACCTCCCCTGGCATCTCAATTTTACTGGAAGTCATAGTCTTGGGAGGGGGGGGTGGTTTATAATACCACCGAACCCCCCGCTCTGCCCTGATGCTGTGTTGTGTTTTGGGTTGGTCCCCCCCCCCTCCAAAGCCCAGCGCTGAAGATGTTGCTCTCCTCCTCTGTATATAGGCAGGTGTCAAGCCGGGTCTCTTCTTATTGGACATGGGGGCAGAGGCAGGGGGGCAGGTCCATCCTACCTAGGGCGAGAGCGGCACAGCCCCGCTCACTGAGGCGCAGCCTCCCCGGGCCCCCCGGCCCCGCGTCCGTCCCGTCCCGGGGATTCCCGGCACCCCGTGGGAGCACGGAGCTCCCGGGCGCGGCTCGCTGCCCGCCGCCCGAGGAGCGGCACCGGGGAGCGGCCGCGGGGAGCAGGCTCACCGGGACCATCGTGCTCCCCCTCGGCTCTCCGGGCGGGGAGGCGCCGCGGCCGGGAGAGGCCAGTCCCGGCTCCGGCCCCGCCCGGGGCATCCCGCGGGGAGCCCGGGCAGCCCCAGCTCGACACAGCCTGTGGCCGCGGCGGGGGTAGCGGCGTAAGGGGAGAGACGGGGCTGCACTGGGGAAGCTCCGTCGGGCTGGGGTGACCGGGGCACGGTGCCCCGCCGGCGGCGCCGCCTCGCAGCGCGGCCCCGACGGGACAGGGCGGGCGGCCCCTCGCGGGAGCCGGACCGAGGCGCGGATAGGACACGGACAGGGCGCAGCCTGAGCGGCAGCGTGTCGATGCCCGCTCCCCGTCCCGCCACCGCCGCCCGCCGCTGTCCCGGGCTGCCCGCCCTGCCGGCCGGGGGCTCCGCGCCTCACCTGGCGGCCGCGCGCCCGCCCTGTCCCGCTCCCGCCCCCGGGTGCTCCCCGAGCGTCCTCGCCAGCCGTGCCCGCAGCGCGGCCGCTGCTCCCCGGGCTGCCCCTTTTTTCCTTTGGCGGCGGTGCCGCCGAAGCGACCGCGCCCCGGCCCTCGGCGCTGCTGGCCCGCAGAGCCCCGGTGCCGAGCGGCCCCGCGCGGGCCCCACCTGCCCCTGCCACAGCGCCATCGCCGGCCGCCTGCTGCCCCCTGCCGGCCGCGCCGCCGCCTCAGAGCGCGCGGCCAGCGGCGCCTCGCGGCCCGAGCGGCGCCTCACGGCCCGGGCGGCCCTGCCGCGGCCGCGCTTTCCCTCAAAGTTCTCCGCAAAAGGAAGCGGCTTAAAGGGCAGAATAAGTTGTTCAATCAACAGCTACCTGATGCCGGCTATTATTTTGGGGGGAGCTCTCTTAGTGGGAGGCCACGTCGTGCAAGAGAAGAGGCTGGGCAATGCCATACGGCAGGTTACTGGGTAGGCAGCGGCCACATGGAGCCAGATCCACGAGCTGACAGGCATCAGAAATTTATCGTCAAAGCCCTACACTCTCCCTGGTCAAACCTAGGCAGAAAACATAGATAGCTCAGGCCCTTTTCATTACTTTAGGCAAAATCAGTGAAGTTCTGCTTACCGATGCAAACACTCCCAATGTTTGAGCCCAATCAGATGTCATGTTTTGAAGTTATCACATACCAGATAGATGAACAAAGAAAGGACACCAAAGTTACCGCTGTCTAAAGTTGGCAAAACAAAGCAACAAGAAATACATCACATGACCTTTTCATTGACATAGTCGAGAATAAACAATGAGATCTGGCCATGTTTTGATTTTGTTATAGTATTTATTTGTTGATGCCCCTTATATTCCTCACTCCATGTTTGACATGTTCACAGACAATTGAAAGGATTGTTCCAGAATCCTCTTAGTGTTTGTACAGGAGCATGGTACAAAGATTGCTTGGGCACAGACAGGCAGCACAAGGCACAGAGTACCAATTAAGTCATTTCGGGGTTAACATGCCTGTTTCTGTGAATTTCCGTCTCACTAATGAAGAGGACTGCAGATTTTGCA